TCCCGCCTGTCGGCGGACAAGTAGCGCCGCTTCTGTTTGACAGGCGCGGAGGCCGGATCGACGGTCAGCCGGTGAGTGATCACCAGGCGGCTGATGCCTGGCATATCGTCCGGGCCCCACGCGAAGACAACGGCGTATGACCGTAGGACGAGGAGGATGGCGTCTCGTTGGTCCTGGGGGAGTTGCTTTCCGACCCGGAGAACCTGCTCCGGCCGGGAGGTATCCAGAAGGATTTCCTCGACCTCCTCGGCCGGCTCAGCATGTGGCCTTTCCTCGTCCGCGGCGACGGCGGCCGTGATGGTGTCTATCCTCTGGCCCTCCCTCTCGGCCGGCCTTGTCAGTTTGAGGTAGCATGCCCTGGCTATCCTCTGGTTTCCTCTGGCGTAGCCGATGCCGTCGTTGGTGGGGAACTTCAGGCACAAGTGCTTCATGGAGATGATGGCCTCCAAGTCCTCCAGCGCTGGCCGCCCCAAGATCAGGTTGTGGGCACACTGGAGGTTGACCACCATGAACTCCATGTTAATTCTGGCGTGGTGGGGGCCGTCACCGACCTCCACGGGGAGGACTATCGTGCCCTTGGCGTCGATAGAGTCCCTGGTGAAGCCGGATAACGGGGTCTTGATCGGCCTCAGCAGAGCTCTGTCCAGCTTCAGCTGCTTGAAGGTGTCCAGGTACATCACGTTGACGGAGCTCCCCGTATCGATGTAATTACGGTGGATGATGGAGTCACCGATCTCACATCGGATGACGAGGGCGTCCCTGTGTGATTCCGTACCCGGAGGCAGATCCTTGTCGGTGAAGGTGATCGCCTCCGTTCGCTGCTTCTTTGGCTGGGGGGGAACGTGGGACACCTCCCCAATGTAAAGGGATTGGGCCCATTTCTTTCTCTGAGTGGCGGAGTCCCCCCCAGTGTTCCCACCTACGATGAGGTGGACGTGATTCTTCTTCGGCGGGGGCTCTTCGAAGTCCTCGTCGTCGCTGAGCCTACCAATCTCCTGCTTCTTCGCAGAGGGTTCGCCCCCATGTTTGCCGGTGTTTACCCAAGTGTTCTTGCGTGGGCCACCTTTGACAAACTAAGAGAGTTCCCCCTGGCGAATAAGGCGTTCGATGGCCTTCTTCAGTGTGATGCAATCGTCGGTGTTGTGTGACGAGTTCTTGTGGAACCGGCAGTATGTGCCGCCCTGCTGGATGGCAAGGATCTCCTCGGCCGGCCGAGGAGCCTGCTCGATGAGGCCGTGCTTCTCGGCATAATCGAGGATGGTGCCGACTGGGTGGGTGAGGGTTACCCCCGGCCGTTCCAACCTCGGACGCCAGTGGCGGTCCTTCTTACTCTGTCCACCAGAGCCGTGGCGGCCCTGGGCACCCTGGCCGGCCGGGGACGGACCCGGGGCCGGCGAAGGATTTGTCTTCTTGGAGGGATGGCCCCCCTCTCTCTTGTGATTGTGGAGCTCGTCGGCGTCGGCATACAAGCCTCCGCGCTGGAGCGCCTTGGCGTACGACCTCGGGGGGTCGGTAATGAGGCTCCTGGTGTACTAAGAGCTTCGGAGGGCTCCCTGATACCAGGCGAGGAGGGTGCGCTCATCGGCCCCCTCGACCTCCTCGGTTTTCCTCGTCCATCGATCAATGAAGGCTCGGAGGGACTCCTCGTGCTGCTGTTTGACGGAGAGGAGGTGGGTGAAATACTTCTTCGCGCGCTTCCTCCCGGCAAAGTGAGTGAGGAAGCGATGGGCGAGATCCTGCCATGAGTCGATGCTTCCTTCTGGGAGCCCGTTGAACCACTCGTACGCTGGCCCCTCGAGAGTAGAGAGGAACCAACGGGAGAGGTATTCGTCGGACGCATTCACCATCCGCATGTTGTTTTGGTAACGGCTGAAGTGCTCCTGGGGGTCTGATCGGCCATCGTAGGACTTGATGGCGTTCCCTCTGTACTTCTCCGGGATGGGGGCCGAGAGGACCCTGTTGGTGAAAGGGGTCCTGGTCCTGACCTGGATGATGGGGTCACCTCGCCCTTCGGCCAGCTCCCTCTCCAGGGCGCTGACCTTGTTCATGAGCGTGTTGAGGCCGGGGTCGTTGGAGGCGCCGGCCGTAGGGATGTTGGCCGACTGCTTGGCCTCCATCTGAGCTAGCCTCCTTTCCAGCTGGGCGATGACCTCGTCCCGGGGGTCCCTGTCGGCCGCGGCGGCGCCCGGCTGGTTCCTCAGGCGCTCGTTGTGAGCCGCGTTGATCTGGTGACGCACGTCATCCTCGTGCAACTTCCCCTTGCCCTTGTCCGGGCGGGGCTGGTCCGCTGTCCGGGACACAGACCCCAAGCTTTCCCTTGGCGAGCCAGGACGAGGATCACCAATCCGTCCCGCCATCCTCTCCGAAATCGGACGACGGCGCGTGTCACCTAGCCTATTGAAGGCAGAGGCTTTTCCACGCGCTGGGGTCTGCCCGGGCCGAAGAGGGGAAACAGGGTGGGAGTGGGACGACGCCGTGTCCTGGGCCATTACCCCCTCATCGTTGCCTATCCGGACGGCCAACGGTTGGGGATGAGGAGGTGGAGTGACGTTTCCCCCGGTCCTCGGCAAGAGTGCGCTAAGGACGGTGGGGTTCTGAGCCAGGCTGGCGATGATGACCGACAGCGCGGCCTGGACCTGTGGATTCACGGACGGAGAGGCCGTGGCCATAGGCTGGGCCGGGGCGTGGTCCGTCTTCTCAGCTCTTTTCTTGTCCAAGCCGATGCGGGCGTCGGGGACTCCGCCGTTGAGTTGGTTGCGGAGGTCCGTCGTGAGGTTGAAGGCCTCCTGGAAGAGGTCCCCTCCGCCGGCCTGGTCGGCCGTGGCGTCCTCATCGTGCTCCCTGGGCTCTTGGTCCTCAGGGATGACTTTGCTGACGAGGTTGCGGTTTGACTTAATTCTCCCCATGATCAGTAGTTAGCTGTGCTTGGTAGCGACGAAGGGTGCTAACTTGATTATTCTAGCTCTCAACGAGAGCACCAAATGATAGAGTATATCTCTAGAGAGAAGTGAGAGCTAGAGAGAGAAGTAGTATATTTGCCTGATATTAATGAATTCTGAACCCCTACAACTACTCCCAAGGGGAGTATTTATAGAGAAAATACGGGCTGGGCTCCCAAGCCTTGGGCTTGGGAGGCCCATTTACAACTGGACCGCTACTGGGCCGAATACAAAGCCACTAATGGGCTGCACAAATGAATAAGTATAAAATCCGGTTCTGGGAGGTCCTCGTGGCCGACGAGGGCGTGGCCGACGAGCGCACGGCCGACGATGGCACGGCCGACGAGGGCACCCGGGTTCCTTGGGCTCATGACCACAATCTGTGTTGGCCCCTTTTTGGCCGACGGGGGCGTCTTGGCCGACGAGGGCGCCACTTTGTTGTCTTATGCTTTCTGTTCTTCCGAGTATGTGGGTCCGGGGGCTCAGACCCATATACTCCATCAGAGATCAATGGTTGGATGAATGTGAATGATTCTTTTGATTCTTTTGATTCTTTATATTACTGTATATTCAACTATACAGTAATATAAATGTTGTCTGCTGGTGTACGTGAATCGTTGTCCAGACCCAATAGTCGACAAGTCGAGGGTCGGGGTCCATATACTCCATCAACACTTTTTTGTCTTCGGCATATAATTACCAAAATGCCACTGTGATTATTTATATTAGCTTATTTTGAGGAAAGTCAAAATGTGCACCAGGCAGGCTCTATTGCGTATCACATTCGGTTAATTGTGAGTGTTCTCACGTTCTCACGTTAAGAATCGTTCTCATTGGAACCGCACCCTATATATAAATATATAAATTTTTGTGTTGAGGTTTAATCTCGTAGTTCCGAAAGCTCAACACAAACTTTGGATATATCAGGAAAAGGGTCAATAATTCAGTGTATAAAAGAAATATAAAAGCTGAGATCAATGAATACCCAAAAGCCCACTTGTACTAAGTAATTTGACGATTACATGGTAAACTACCCGAACGATATGTCGGAATAGTAACTAATACAAGAAATCAGAGAGATAATGATAATCTAGGCTTCAGTATGAAAATGCTAACCCTTTACAATGAAACTAATCCTTCTATTTATACTAAAAGGGGGTATGAGGCACTTCATGTTGATTGGTTGCTTTATCTAGCCACTTGGAAACCCATGCTTCAACTTGCTACCGCCATACTTTAGCAATAAATGTTCCATGCCACTTGTTGGCTACCCGTTGCCCGAACGGGTAGTGGACCCTGTTGGAATCATCACTGATCTGGCCCAAGTACGTTGATTAGACCGAACCTCGTTCGGTACATTCATCTGGAATCATCATTGTTCTGGCCCATTTATTGACGTGGCCCATCATTGATCTGGTCCAAGTACTTTGATTAACCTGAACCTCGTTCGGTACATATTTTCCCATGAGCCTATTCATCTTCTGGATTATGGACCCGTCTATCGGACTGGATATCCTGGGCCTTGGTTCCGGGTATTGGGCCTGCAGCCCAATATCCCAACAATTTGTATTTTATGGATAAAATATATAAATATATTATTGTTTATTATTTATTATTTTATAGATTTTGGTATTCGGTACATACCGAAAACCACAATATTTATTTATATACCGAATCGAATACCGAATTTTCAAAATTATATGTACCGATTATCAAACTGAAATTTCAGTTCGGTATTTGGTACGTACCGAAATTTTGATATTGATTTGGTTCGATGGGTTTACCGAATTGTGCACACCCCTAAGAGCATCTCCAATGCTACAATGTGCACGATGCACATGTGGCATGAAAGAGATAGACACAAAATATTAATTTTATGACATTTCTCTCTCATTCTTTCCACGGTCTTATGTGTTTTTGGTCAGTTTTGTTTGCAACGTCAACCACAATTTCTACATCTAGACTTTATGCTTGACGTAAGATTTGAAGAGAGAGATTCTATTTTGGATCGCGAGTAATAAACTTTCTAAAAAGAAATCGGTTTCCACTTTCAATGATTAAGTCGGCTAAAACTTGTTTTGACAGGAAGTCGGCAGAAACAATTTATTTATGCCATTAAATTGAGAGGGAGGGGAATAATAAACTTTCAAGCCGGCGCAGTATTTGCAGGGGAATTGCAGAGCAAGAAATAACAATTCATTCATCCAACCTAAAATCAATTTTCAAATGGGGAAAGGAAAGGCTAGAATAGAGATGAAGAAGATAGAGTGTTTGCAGGCAAGGAACATATGCTTCAGCAAGCGCCGTACAGGGCTGTTCAAGAAATCCGAGGAGCTCTGCCGTCTATTTCCTGGAACTCGGGTCTCCGCTGTCGTCTATTCGCCTGCCGGGAAACCATATTTCCTGGGAGATCCGTTCGCCGCCGCCGCAGCACTCCTCCCCCAAGGCAAAGGCGGAGAAGAAAGTGCGACAGTGGAAAACACTGCGTCTGAAAACGAAGGAATTCAAGGAGGCAGCGCTCTTCTTCCTCTTGGTTCTGACTGTGAAGGGTTCGTGAATTTCAATGCGCTTCCTCTGGCGTTTGGTTGGGAGGGATTGAATCTGAATGAGTTTGTAGATTTCCATGGGTGGGATGAAGAAGCACTTCTGATGAATTGCAATGGCCCAAATTAGCCCTGCGGCACTTCTGTCGATTTCCACTGGTTTCTGCCTCTCTGACCTGATCCGGTCGGGTTCCAATTTTTTTTTTTTTTAACTGTAATGAGGTTGTCGTCGATCAGTATATATTACTCCGTAATTACGATTAAATTTTCATAACGAGTGAGGGTCTTTAGCGATTGGCGGATATCTGGGCCGTTTGGGGGGCGCAAATGCTATTTTAAACACTAGTAACCAAACACTTAAATTGGTAAATTGGCTGAAAGATCGGTTACCAAACACCCCCAATCTCTTACCCAATGCTTACCTACTCGATCCATCTTACTCACAATATTTTTTTCATATTATTACAGTATAATTCTTGATCCAATATTTATAACTGAAATTGAACTCAATGTAACTAGCTAATGCTACCCATATTGATATTATAGGTATAAATTTGGAAAAAGTTCATATTCTGGGATTCCAATTTGATTATTTGACCAAATTTTGTTTCTGGAATACTCACTCCAGTGTTATACGGAATATATAGAGAGGTTCATTGACATCAATTATTAACTATAGTACTCTGTATCATTTAGCTTCATCTCCAGTCTCCACTATGGGTTCTAATCAATCATAAAAGAATGACGTGAAAAAGAATAAATGTAAGCAATTCTATTTTGTTCTGAATGGAGATTCTTCTGTATTGAGAGACTAGAAAACTCAACTATTACAAAAAATCAATCTTTACCAATACACTTTTACTCTAAGTATATTTCATTTTTCACACACTTTTCTAACTTTCTAAATTGATACAAATAAACAACAATAGACTCCTTATTTATAGGTGCATATGGGAGACATGTTGCATCCAAGCTTCCATTCCCATTGCTAGGGAAGAAGGTGGAAGAACCATAAAAGAGTGACTAGAAGTAACATACTCTCAATGTTTCAAATGATTTAAGATGTATTTCTAGAGGTATTGCACACTTTACACTCCAAGGCCTTGAAGTAGAGAGTACAACTAGGGTACTACAACTTGTAAAAGTCGAAACAAGACAATCAATTTAGAACTGCAAAAGGATGTGGGAAAGTTATTTGGGAACACAGGAATTGAAGTATTCATATTTCAAACAGTAATTTTAATATGATATCATTATTTGAATAGGAAACACATAATCGTGGCCGTGATTAATGTGTAGTTTGAGGCGGTGGACCTTCCAAACGAATATAGTCATACATCACTCCAATAAATGGGCTTCCACCTCTGGATTGCTCTATGTATAATACGTTTTCTCCCTTCACAAGTTGGTCTCCAGAAATATTATATGTGTGATCCGAATACTGCCCGTGAATCCCGTGCCTCGCAATTGCGTTATCTTTCCACAGCCCATTGATTATGAAGTTGGGCCGTCCATGTTGTTTATTAATCCAGACCTATACTTAAAAAATCAAATCACTTGCTATATGTAGGGTCACTCAAGGGAAGGATGGAAGTAGGAGAAAATTCCTAAATATGAGTAAAAAAGATTTGAAATTCCAAAATAGGACTACCATGTTTTTTATTTCTTGAATAATAGAAAATTTCTGCCAAGTTTGACATTACTAGGCTTTAAACATGGTATTTTTTAAAAACATGTCAGATTACTCCGAATAAAAAACATGATACTCCTATTTGGGAATTTCAAAACGTTTTTGCACCTATTTAGAGTAATTTCTATTGAAGTAATTAAGAGATATAATTAATTACGTACTAAAATATTGGCATAAGAAGAAGAAGCTAACGCAATCCGAAGTGTATAAGTCCCCCTTTCGCTAACATCATTCAACCTAAATACAATTCTCCATGTGGTGGATTCATATGCTTTGTTCTTTCCAACTCTGCAATACATTCGTACCAATTGGAATCACTCCGTATATGTTAGGCAGTATAATTACCAATTCTCTTAATTTAATTTGTATAAACATATTCCATTTTATTAAAATTATTTAATTCGTACCTTAATATATTCAACAATTATAATATTTACTACTCCGTATTATTTATTTAATGCAAACCAAATTGATTAAGGAACTAATTTTCTTCTTTCAGAAAGATAACTGTTCCTTAAAACGCAATACGATTAAGAGACCATTCTATACTTATCGATCCGTCACAAATTAAATTAAACCAAATCGCAATTATTGAACTTTCAAATTTTTCTACTATATACTTGTATGTAATATTTTCGTAAAACTTTCCTACTTATTAGTGTTTTCAGAACAACTCATTGTTTAGGATTTAGGATACTTATTGTATAAAATTCTTAGTTTTGTAATGTTTAATTATCTTTATTAGATAACTAGTACTCGATTTCATCAAATATATATAAACCACAGTTTTTAGATCATGTGAAGTAAATCCAAAATATAAATTTAATTGACATTAAATTACACAATGCATAATTTATTGTAAAAGCAGTGGTGAATGTATACTTTATAAACTCTTTATCTTCAAATAAAATGTTATATATCCTTTTTTATTTTCAAATTATTTTCCTTTGATTTGATTTATCATTTCTTACGCTTTAGTGTATCAATTTTTTTTTCTAGAGCACTTCAATGGCAAAATTAAAGTTAATTTGTCATTGTCTAAACTTAGAATGTGCTATATAGAGATTTAAATGTCGTCATAAATGTATTAATGATTTTTTTGAATAAAAATAGTCGCAGAGTCTTACACTAGTGAAAATATTTCGCCTCGCTACACCAGCAAAAAGTATTTTGTGCCACTACACTAGTGAAAATTTTCTTTACTCCCTACACTAACGAAAATTTTCGCAGTGTTTATCATATTATAACTAGTTTTGTTTATGTAATTTGTATTTATTCCATGATTTTGGGAGCCCAAATTTTATACCATCGTAATTGTTAATATTAAATTAATATTAATATGACAGGGTTTATTTATTTACTTTTGTTCAATATCATCATTGTGACACTCTCAATCAAGTTTGAAGATGTCACAAAGTTTGAAACTAATCTCAATCAAAGAAATTAACAAGTTAAATAAAGGGAAAATGTACAAATATACCCATGTGATATGAGTATGAGAACAAATATATCCCTATTCTATTTTTTTGAGAAAATATACTCCTGTAATTTATGTGGAGGTGCATATATACCCCTGATCTTTGAAAAGGTGCAAATATACCCCTTATTGACTTTAAAAAATAAAATAAATTTTAGAAACCACTAAAATTTTTGAAATTCGAAAAATCCAAAAAATATAATATTTAAAATAATTTTTTATTTTTATGTTTAAATGCTAACTCTTTAATTTTAAATTTCAAAATTATAAGTTTTCCGTTGTAAATGAAGCACTTCAAATTCCTAAATATGAATTTTACTCTTGTTGCGAAATTTTGAACACATTGTTACATTTTTTTGAAATAACATTCTTTGCTTTTGTTCAACCTTAATAAAATATATTTACTATTTTGTAATCTTGTACTGTTATCATCATACAAGATGTGTAATTTGAGTGCAAAAATACAAATAATTATTGATTTTTTTCGTTGCAACACATATATTAACACTTTTTAGAAAGAATCTTAAATATATAGTAAAGTTTTGAATAATATTTTATATAACAATAATAAGTTGTGATATAAAAAATAAAATAAAATGATACTTGGAGAAGTACTTTTCAAAAGTACACTAGTGCTTTTTGCACGCTAGTGCTTTTTGCATGCTAGTGCTTTTTGCACTTTTCAAAAGTTCAAGTGTATATATATATATTTTCACATAAAGTTCAAGAGTATATTTGTTCTAAAAAAACAAAGATATATACGTTCTCACACATATACTAGAAAAGTATATTTGTACATTCTCTCTTAAATAAACTCATATCAATAAAAAAAAGTAGATCATAGAGTTGACCTATTCACATGTGCGAAGAACCAATCTTTTCGGTAATCACTTTGGCCAACTGTGTACACCAAATCCTTCTCAGGATAATAATCTGTATAACGATCCCATAACCCATATTGCCTAAACCTGTTTTCAGAAAACAACCTAATAAAGAGGTCCATAAACAAAATTAAATAGAGTAAATAAATAAGATGAAACCATATTAATTACTTTTCGTTTTTGTGGTTGAGGAATAATGTGTTGACGAGGTCAGGATTGGGATCGGGGATGAAAAACTCGGATGCCTTGCGGTCAGGAATTCCGATTTCCCATAAGGTTGGACCGTTCCTTGGAGGATCAAAAACAAGATCCTTTAGATCAATCTTGTCTCCTGCACCAATTAATTAATTAGCTAACTAATGTGCAACAACTTTAAAATCCGTAATAAATTATCACAAACTGAATCTATCATCCATAAATATTCCTTTATCTAGCCTAATTTTTTTTGTCTGAATTAGTTTGGTGTGGTACATGTCTTTGTATATTTTATAAATGTCTTATTCTATCTGGTCTAGTCAGATCTGATTTGATCTGATATGGTCAAGTCTGGTCTGAGATTGAAAATAATCCAAGTAAAAACATTCTAGTTAGCTATTTTTGACTTTCTAAGTCAAATATGCTAGATTTTGACCGATGATTTATTTATGTAGAAGAGTATTAAAAATATAAAAATGATGAAAATGTACTGTTAAAAATACTAGTATAAAAATTATAATTTCACTAAAATATAAGTGTCAAAATGATTGATTAGAAAAGTCAATGATAGCTAATTAAAATAAGAGGGAGTAAAAACTCACTAGTTTCTCTGTATACAATAATCGATGGAAGTACACTTCTATTTACCATTTGGAGGGATTTATATAAGAAATTTGGCATAATTTGAGTAAGATATAGATGAAGTTATACAAATAAAATTAATTATATTTTATTTTCTGGATATGATTTATCAAGTCCTAATAAAAGCCATTAAAGTTTCTTTTTTCGAAATGAATGTGTCTTATTTTAAGGAAAAAAGTGATTCTATTTGATGAAATGTGTTATGTTTTGATCCTATTTTTGAGTAAAAATATTTTTTGAATGAGGTCTGGGAGGTGGGAAGGGTTGGCTAGCTGGTTGGGCGGAGGATACCGAAGTGGGCAGCAGAGGTTGGGTGGTTGGTTATCTTCATCGACTAGCTCCAGAAAATTACTCACACTATTGCCTCTGCTGTCCACTTCGGTATCCTCTGCCCAACCAGCTAGCCCACCTAGTTGACCGCATTCTCCGGCGACACCCACTTCCCAGAACACGCCGCCACCCTCCAACCTACAAATTAAATCCTTACTTCTCATCTCCTATTTCATCGCATTCATCCATAGGCAGTCCTCCCGAACACACTACCAGCCCTGTCGTCGACACTCACACCACGACGGAGGATTCCTCTTCACCCTCCTCGGCCAACACTTCTTCTCCATCACCCGGTCCTATTAACATTCATCCTATGCGTACTTGTGTCAAGGATGAAATTTTTAAACCAAAACCCATTTTTAATTTAAGTGTTTTTTCTGCCCCGGATGATCCTACTTTCACACAGGCTAATAAGAGTGATATTTGGCGGGCTGCCATGGCTGATGAACTTAATGCTTTAATTGCTAATAGAACTTGGAATTTGGTACCTTGGGATCATACTAAAAATGTGGTAGGTTATAAGACAAAATATTTATCTGATGGATATGTTGAGCATCATAAAGCTCGGTTAGTTGCTCAGGGTTTTAAACAACAAGCTGGAATTGATTTTACTGAAACTTTTAATCCTGTTATTAAGCCCACTACTGTTTGTCTCATCTTGTCTATTGTTGTTTCCTTGGGCTGGTATGTTCGTCAACTTGATGTTAAAAATGTTTTCTTACATGGCTTCTTGATGTTTAAACTTTTAATACGCGTTAGCCACAAGGCTTTATTCATCCCTCTTTTCCCAATCACGTTTGTCACCTACACAAGGCACTTTATGGTCTGGAACAAGCTCCGTGAGTTTGGTTTTATCGTTTTAGTGGATTTCTGTTGAGTCGTGGTTTTTCACAGATTAAGTCTGATTCTTCCATGTTTGTTTACCGTTCTCAATCCCGAACCGTATATATTCTCTTATATGTGGATGGTATTTTAATCATTGGTTCCTCCTCATCTTTTGTCCAACTTATTATCCATACATTATCTCTATGATGGACTTGGGGGACGTTCATTACTTCTTGGGTATTCAGGCGACATGTACATCTACATGTTTATTCCTATCTTAAGCTAAATATATTTCAGACCTGTTACATCGATTTCATCTTCATATAGTCAAACCTGTACGTACTCCACTTCCTTCCAAAACCACTCTTTCTCACACAGATGGGGAACTTTTTTCTGATGCTACTGAGTACCGCAGTATTGTAGGGGCTCTTCAGTATTTAATTATAACTAGACCTGACATTACATATGATGTTCATCTGGTATCTCAGTTTATGCATGCTACACATACTACTTATTTATTACTCGTAGTTGTCAAGAGAATTTACAGGTATTTACAGGGGATAGTGACTCACGGCATATGCCTTCGATCTGACAGAAATATTTCTGTCATTATGGCTTATTCTGATGCAGATTGGGCAGGTTTTCCGGACAGTTCTCGTTCCACTACAGGTTATGCGGTTTTTCTGGGCTCCAATTTGATCTCATGGTGATCCAAGAAACAGCCTACTGTCTCCAAATCCTCTACTGAAGCTGAGTACAGCGCTATCGCTTATACTGTCCAAGATACCTATTTGTTCGTTCTCTCTTGGCTGACATGGGTATCCAAATTTCTGCTCCAGTCAAGCTTTATTCTGATAATGTTTTTGCATCTTACTTGGCCGTGAATCCTATTCAGCATGATCGCAGCAAGCATATTAAGATTGATTACCACTTTGTTCGAGAACGAGTTGCTCATGGGGATCTCGTTGTCAAGTATATTCCCACACAGTTACAGTTAGTTGATATATTACTAAGAATTTCTCTACTCAACTTTTTGAGTTTTTACGTTCCAATCTGCGCGTTGCATCCCCTGCACAGATTGAGGGGGTGTAATAATGTATTATCTCGGGACTCATTTCTAATTTTCATAACTCTGTTTATTATTATAAATATAAGGCTAAGGCACCCAACAGGTAAGCCATTATTTCTCAAAATTTATTATTTTGTATAAGTAGTACGTACGCAGTTTAAATAATCAAACCTGGCATGATGACAATTCGATTGTTGTATTTATAGTCTCCAAGGATTGTAGGGACCCAAGCATACAAGTTGTAGACTCCAGGTCTAACTGCGTTGATTTTGAACTCTCCCTTATCGTTCGTCTCTGTCCAAAATTGATATCCCTGAAAATATACAGTAACACATACATACAAGTTAAATATGTGTCTCTGTCCAAAGTTGTACTTTTAATGAAAAGTTTTTATCTTGAATTTTCTGCTCAAAACAACATATTGTGGTGGGAAATTCCTTAATACAGACACATTTATCAGTTAACTAACATAACGTGATTAATGCAACAAAAGTTTTTTTGAAGGAAAAAAGCTAAAATTTTACTCCCCTGTCCCATTTTATCTGTCCAACTTTTCTTTTTGGATTGTTACAAAATAAGTGTCACATTTCCTCTTTTGGAAAGAAATGTTACCCACAATATTTAACTTTATTATACCCAAATCTCTACCACAACTTTTACTTTTTCAATCACTTTATTAATAGTTGTGCTAATTCAAAGTGGACACATAAAGAGACGGACGTAGTATTAAAACCAAACAACATCACACCAACAACCACACACACATCCCACTTTCTCATCTCCCTCAAGTCAACATACTCTTTCACTCTCTGATCATGCATAGAATAGACTACCCAAACCTGAGCGAGACTATTCGTTGAACATACGAGATTTGAATCTATTATCGGCCCAAACAGCTCGATTGTTTCGAAACAATTTCTTATATACCAGAAAGAAAATCAACACTAACCTACCAACCCTAGAGTCAATAACAACAATACAAATAAAATGTTGAAACAAAATAAATAAAGTAACTGAAAAGAAGTAACTAATAAGCATCCGATGAAGACAATCCGCTCCATCTTTACTCTGAATCTTCACTAAACTTGTCAATAGTGATTCAGTCGAGTCGCAGAGCTGCAACTCGCCTCCTTCCCGTTTTTTATCCCTTGCGCCTCCACATCCATGTTGCAGCCAGCGGTCCCCTCTTCCTCCTGTTTGACTATTCTATGTTTTTGCTCAGATCTGTCATCAGTCTGCTCCTAAACTGTTCCATAACCAAGTTAGTCATGCTACCTCTACTAGCCTCATCCTCTGCTCCCTCTATGATTTGAGACATATTCTTCCCAATTGGTACTACCTATTTATTAAAAGATGTCGGAGCACTTCCCTTAGTGGCCCTTAGCCATGTACCAAATGGTTTATCTCCCATCCTTATGCACCCCTCTCATGATTGCGAGGATAATATTTCTCCGCGTGCCCAATAATTCCACACAAGAAACAGAAAACTGGGCAGTTTTTCATACCAGAAAGTAACACAGAAACTAGCTCCCTCATTTTGTAGAAATATTTTCTTTTTCAAGGGCCTAGTTAGAGATACAGACTCACTCTTATCCTCATGAAAGGATTCCATTTAACAGAGACGTTATGCTCATAAACCCTTATAAACCTTCCCACAAAATTCCCAATTTTCACAGCATTCTCCATAGAGAAGTAACCAACAGAGATATCATGAACTTGAATCCAGAACTCAGCTTTGTTTAGGGGAACTGGCAGAGGCAAATCCCCTTCCCCAAACTTGGCCATAACAATAAGATTCTGATCAAATGTCCAAGGACCATCCTCCAGAACGTGCAACATATCATTCATATTATAAAATTGGAACATATAACGTCTATTTCCCAATTCAGTGATACTAATACCTTTAATCGGTCTCCGAAGTGATGGTCCCAACGAGTGCGAGGCTTCCATCCACCACACCCGAAGTCGTGGCCTCCACCAAAACAGCTTCGTCTTCATCGTCCATTTCCATGTTGCCATATATGCCTTGGCTAACTGCTCCACCTCGAAATGTTCCTGAATCGCCTCCATCTCCAACCTTCTGGACTGTTAGAATAGGAAAATACCCGCACCAATGAAGTTTGCTCTTTGCCTCAACAGTCCGCTGCACTGACGAGCCAAAACCGCTTCTCCTTCCTCATCCCAAGCCTGTTGCAGTACCTTCCTCAAACGCCCGCCGATCGATCCACGCCACTCTTCTCCTCTTCTACGCAAACTGTTCGTAGTAGCGCTGAACCCTAGGCCCGTCTGTCAATTCGATGGCAGTGTAATTGATTAATGCGACAAAAGTTGATCAACAATAATTGATTCCTTCAAGATATAATGCAAAACTAAAGTGTATTATTTGGGGAAATGAAACAATTGAGTAAATATTAATATAACTTTAATAAAATAGAATCATTAATTATATATCCATATGTTTATCTAGTGTATTACAACATTTAGTGAACTAGTAGTCAACATTTGTTTTTTGAAAGAAGATAATTTATTTATTAATAATGAAAGTAATAAGAAATAAAGCAATACAATAGCTCAAGGCTACACTGGGATGCGAAATAGAATCGATTTGCCCCCAAGGATCGATTGTATTCACTAATCCCGCAACGATGTAGACTAATCTAACGCACTGTTGAACTTGCTACTAAAATGGGATGTAACTAAACAAAAACTATTTAAATAAAAGCAACAAAATAATTCAAGCATCCCACTTTTACCAGCCACCAGGAAGGGAGAAGTGGTTTGTCCATCCACCTTCAAAGGAAGCATCCCGATTTTACAAGCCACCGGGAAAGGATAAGAGGTTTGACCAGTCACCTCCAAAGGAATCATCTCGTCTATTAGTATTTTAGGTGGTGTTGTTCCAGGAGCACCACCGCCTTGCACTTTTTTGACTCCTCTAGGGCACCCGACTCAAACACCAGATCATTTCTCTCTTCGCCCTCAATTGACATTCTTCCATTAGCCTGATTTGAACTCTACATTAATGGCCAACAAAATGAACACCGGATTCTGAACACCGGATTCGAGACAGAAAAAGAGAAGCAGCGAAACACATGATCACAAGACCAAACATATTCTCAATCGGAATGGACCAGACCCTCGGCAAGTGGAAAACTCAGCCGGATAGAACAAACACGAAAAAAACCCAACAATGAATAAGAACGACTGAAGCACACCTAAATTACATACGAAGCCCACAAAGCCGCCAGACAAAGTTGATGTGAATTGTTAATTTGGTGTCGCACCCATACACACACTCCAATCTTCTCCTTCGTTGGATAAATCAGAAGCATATGGACATATGAGAATGCCGCACTCTCCTAGAATTTCTTCTTCGCTCACAAATTTGGACGGAGGTCGGAGGGAGTAGTTAACCCCTTTGTTTTGATTTCACATTTTCACCATCTCATAAATTCTACTGTTTTTCTTATATATATGACAGTTGAGAGTTCATCGCTTACTTTATATTTTTGTTTCAACATTTATTATATCCTTCATATTTTAATTTCATACACTGTTAGTATTTAATGTATTGCTCTTAATTATTAAACCTTGTTGTTTTGAAAATATGGCTCTCAATACCATCTGATTTATCTTATTTAGTATGAGATTCTTCCTAGAATATAACTCTAATAAAATTTATGTACAAAAATGTGTTCAAAATTATTATTTACATAACCTCATGGTCATTACGATATAATATTGAGCATAACTGTAATAATTAAGATTTATGAATTTATGAATATGATCAGTTTGAATAAGAGATCACGTTTTTATCGATCAACTTTATTTAAATCTTAATAATTAATTATTAGTCGATCAATTTATTTAGAAATGGTTTGTCATATGAACCTTGACATCTCGTTGCCATGATCCAGCATCTCCCGGAGGGGCCAACCCAATGTGTGCTGATTCTGCCTCTATAAGGCCCGACCTTAAAAACCTATACAGATACATTATCATCAACACATACATTATATTGATAGTAATGAAATCATTCATATATAGCGAGTACGTAGATCAGTAGAATACCAAAAATAAAAAGACTGAAATGTCACCTATCACGAACTCGTAGTCGGCCTTTAAGTGTACCCCGAAAACCTCTATCAGGGTAGTGGTGTGATTTCGGAAAATCATAGGGCCAATTTCTATTTTCTTGGGTAGCCTAACACACAAAAATTAATAAATATATTAAGAAAATTAAAACAATATCTGACAACAATCTAAGTAGTAAATAACAATATATAGGTTGATTAGGCGTACACATAATTTTTAGTTAAATGAGGTTTCCTAAATACAAATACGAAATAAAACTTATTTACAAACATATGATTAATAGTTACTACATACTAGTATATTGTCATGATCACTCAGGTATAATAATTTAATGTAAATTACTATGACTAAGTTACTATTAAAATCATTACACATAAGATGTCACATTTTTGTAAAGAACCTTTATTTTAATCATAAATATGTTACGGGGTATTATTCCTAGTATTTTCCAATTATCAATGAGAAATAATGGAGACAGAATGTATAAAAAAACTTATGAACATATACATCATGATCATGTATACAACACAGAGGATCTACATAGGGCTATGATGGCTGAAGGCCGCCTGAAGCCCAACCAGCTTAATTCTTTTCAATTGTTTTAATATAAATTTTTTCATCTTTCATATCTAGCACACTCCACCAATGTTTGCCAAATATAAGAATTCCATAGTCAGGTCCTACTCCAAATTCCTACAGGATCCACCTCTCGAACTATACATATATAATTAAGACTAAGTATATAGGTAGCTATGAAACAAAGCATTCCAGCCCAGCTGGTTGTGAGGTTACCGTGTCTAATGGGAGGTCTCAAGTTCGAAACCCACTAGGCACATAAGGGTTTGAAACTCAATGGAGTGAGTTTCAGCCCTGATGATTACTCCAACCCCCAGCCCCCTCCCCAGACCCCCCGGAGTAAAAAAAAGGTGGTTATGATTGTATGTGCGGAAGAATGTCCAACATAAGACTTTAGTATAATTAATATCATAGGCTTTATAATTAATGAATAGAATACTAAAGGATGATTATTTTTAATAAAAATTAGTTTTAATGAAGAAAGAAAGGATGATCACCATATTTTGAGCGTCTCTCCAAAGGGTTGATGGGTTTTTGTTTGAGTCTGAATTGAGGTATATAAAAATGGGACCAAAAACCTTTGTCCAACTCTCCCCATTTCGCAAGCTTAGTGTAAACCCTTCGCCTGTATAATGATCGCTAAAGAATACCTGAAATAGGGAAATGTATATGCAGAGTATATATATAGGCTTAACTCAAAAGACAACATATGGTTATTCTATAATTAGCAATAAAATGTTTCACATTTCTTCAAATAGGACACCTATTGTATTAGTTTTTCCAAAATAAAAATCATTTACCCGATCCAAACAAAAAAAATATTCCAATATTACTCTTCATTAAAAAATCTACATCATGCATCTGATGAGAACAAAACATATATAGCTAGGTAAAACTTAGCGGTTAGCGCATTTTTTAAATCCTAATTAAATAGTGAAACACAGAGAAGAACAGTTGGGCTTATAGGTATGATTTAAGTGAGCTCACTACAACCGGAACCAAAACCGTTAAGAATATCTATAAAAAGACCACCTTGTTTAATAGGTTCAGCAAGAGCATGCAATTCAAAGCCGGCGTTTAACATGTGTTCAGGTTAAGTCCCGAATGACCCGAAGGTCCAATACTAACCTTGGATCTAGGGTAAGATTGTTATAGTAACGTGTATAATGCGATTAAGGCGATTAGGCTACTCGAGTTCTCATCAAGGCGGTAATCCGAAATTGGGTGAGGCTGGGTCGCCTGCGCCCTACACCCTGCGGCCTACGACTGCCCTAGTCTTCACAGAATCACAACCTTCACTTGTTGAGGTTTTCACTTTTAACCTTCTTTAATTTTTTCACTTTTGTAATTTTATTATTGTTAATTGCTAATTTGTTATTTCACTTATTGCTTAATTTCAGAAATCAGAAATCAAAATTTGAATTCCAGCTTTATTCAAGCGATAGTATAATAATTATATGCAGTCATTTTAAATCATGTACTCATTGAGGAGTATTTTTTTCTATATGAACACTTGGACACAATTAATTTTATTGAACTTTGTGAGTTTTTTATCATTTATGATTTTATTTTTATTCATATGTGAGGCATCATTTTGGTATTTAGAACAGGGCCTCCGAATTTATTAAACATCTCTGTTAAATATAAACATGGAATCATATACAATAAAAAAATCTGAAAACAACTTATAATCTAAATAAGGAATATTTTAGATTGATATTGCTTTGTTTTACACTTTTACTTAATTGGTTTATTCAAATTAAAAGTTATTGGTGTTTCTAGATTAGAGATATTCTGAAGTTAAGTAATGTCAAGGATTTACGTACCATTAAAGAAGTTGGACCAACATGAGACGTAAGATCTTGTTTTATTGGGCCACCTGAAAGGAATTCACTACTACCTGTGATGATCCAAAATCCAATATGGGGCGTTGGACAAATCCACCCATGTACTTTAATGTCTTTATTTTCTAAAGAATATTGATACTTATCATCCACCTAAATATAAAATGATTAAGAGTGCATATTAGTTTAGCAACATATATGTTATATATTCCACATGCATTTTTTTATAAAGTGCACCAGTTTGTAGTATAGGAATACACAGTATATACACATGCATTGCACTTATAAGAACACAATGAAATTTATTGAAGAATTCTTGTATCTTTCCAGTGCATTTATTTATGATGTTGAATTGTCACAACAATTTTATTTAAAAAATATCTAATTTATCTATATACAATGGTTGATGGTCTTACTTTATTCTTACTCATAATGGGTTCATTAGTGGAAACTGATCGATTTGCAGCACAGTATAAGCGACGGTTCTATACTAAACGCCAAAACTTTTAAAAAACAAGTCAGGATACGTGCGACACTTGCTAACCATACAGCCGCCATCTTTTTTTTTTTCAATTATTTTTTTAGAAAATTGGCGGCGGTTGTTCTGGTAAAAACCAGTGCAAAAATTAAAATCTAAAAAGAAATCTATGATCCATGTTTGTCCATTTGATTGCAATTTCTGGTAAAAACCGGCGAAAAAAAAAAGACTTATAAGGCCAAAAAAGTTTGTGTCCAATGGGAATTGAGTGGAAGAAGATTCATGTTTGTCCATTCGATTGCATATTATATCAGAATGAGTATGAAAACTTGAATGAATGTCCAAGATGTCATCTCTCAGTATACAAGAGAATGACTAGAACAAATGGTGCTAGTGAGGATGAAAATACTAATACTCCAACCAAAGTTTAATGGAATCTTCTGATCATTCCACTGTTAAAGAGATGATTTATGAATGAAAATAATTCAAAGCATCTGGTGTGGCATGCTCAAGGTAGAAAAAGAGATAAATATCTACGACATGTGCCAGATTTTCTGCAGTGGAGACAAATTGACTTGAAATATCCTGAATTTGGTCAAGAGGATAGAAAGGAATATGTGTATTGCATTGCACGATATGCATTATTCTACGACTAGTGGTTGACCACTTTACATATGCACACATATATATTCATGTGATGGATTACCCTTTTAAATCCATTAAAAAGGAATGTTTTGTTTATTTGATTATATATTTGTTATAGGTGGTGTAATGAATTTTGACAAATCTATCAATCTTTTCGGTTATGTTGAGAGCGACCTAGCAGAAGTATTGATGATAGTAGACACACTTATGGATATGTTATCTTGGTGCCGATATGGTTACATGGATCTCAAAGAAAAGTCCATTGTGGGGCTCTCTATTATGAATATGAAAAAGGTTTATTAGATGAAGTTGATTAGACCATCCCCTCCATTGTATGAGTGTAGTAATGTGATGAATTGCAATGAAGAAAATAAATTATTCTCCATTAGACTCCCTATTTCTGCACACCCTTCGGAACAATGAAGATTAGAGATATATGGTATTACCTCCCCTCTCAAACTACTATTGGATGGATGAGTTAGTAAAGCAGCTTCTCTGAAGGCTAGTTGCTCACCAGAATTCCGATCATTTGCGGTTGGCATCACTCTTTGCAGGTCATCTGATATAGCCATATAACTAAACCTGCATATACGCATTTATAAATAAAATAATAATACTGACCTTAGATCACCAATACAATTTTATATGACAAATAACCCCATAAAGAGGTTTAGCATATTTAATCTAACAACAACTCCTAAATCATATGGAGTACTTGATAACATAATAAATATATATACTAATATAGTGTGTATTTTTTAATAAATTTATTAATCATTTTTATATTTTGAAAACCTACGAACTACATAAGATAATAATATTTTAAAAGTATTTATAAGTTAAGATTGGATACAATTCTAATCGCTAATAAGTCCTAATTCATAACTATCACAAGACATCTTCAAAATTTAACACCATCGTAGTTAATTAAGATTAAGGTCGTTCACTTAAATACAGTTTAATAGAATTTGGATAGTTTAATTTATGTTTCTTTGTAGAGCAATTTCATGGTGAGCATTCCAACTTAACTATAACTTATCTTTTCATATCAATTTCTATGGTAGGATCGATTCATCCCTTTCGACAAAATTCTCAGTGGCTCACCCATCCATGGACTTTTTTACACCCAGGCTCGCTTCACTACATACTTCTATAGTTAAATAGCTGACATACCCTTCCTAAAACTAATAGGCGGTAAGGAGGTGCACACCATCTATTTAACATATCACTATGTAGTCCTCAAGTCAAGGTAGATTCCTATGCGGCACCTCCAGAATTCACTATGGCAATGCAGAGCCCTAATACTAAGCGGTAGATGGACATGAGGGGCAGCACCACATCATAATGCCATCATGTCAAGCATAATCAAGGGGTTAGGCCCCGAATAAAAGGGTAGTCTTGATCCCCTATAAGACCAACAATCATCCCTAGCACTAGCTGAGAGATTAACCTACGAACTCGCTTAACTTCAGATTCACAGTGGGTCACCCATCCTTGGGCTTTCCTACTCTCGGGCTCGCTTAACAGAGTTCTATGATTAAATAGCAGTCATGTCCTTCTTAAACCCAAACGGTGATAAGGAGGTGGACACAATCTATTTAACAAAGTACCCTGTAGCCCATAAATGAAGGTAGATTCTTGTGGGGCACCACCCACAGTTCACTACGGCAGCGCAGAGCCACACTACTGAGCCATGGATGAACATGAGAGGCTACATCACATCGTGGTGCCAGCAGGTCGGGCCTAATCAAATGGTTAGGCCTCAAATCAATGAGTGGTACTTGATCCCCCACAAGACCAACATTTATAGCTCCAATACTTTCAAGCTACATGGTGCTTTAATGGTAGGCCAATATCCATCAATTTTAATGGGGCTAGATAGATTTCATAATCTAATTCATTGATTGTTCTCTAAATCATCAAAGGTCCAATCTAATTTCTAAGAAAAATAATTGGGAATGATCTTACAATATCAAGCCGAGACTGAGCATTTTTTCTCTAATTTATTTAAAACTCACAAACGTGCTCAAGGTCAACCAAATACGCTAAACAAGTTAATATATGTTAACAATGTTATCTTCAACATATAAAAGTAAATTGTGAATTTATAAAAGTCTAACACATTAAGTTATAAAGCATGTATGTTTATTGAAGTAGTAACTTAGTAATATATAAATATATTTCTACCTGTAAGAAAAATATCTAGATTTTGAATAAACATTTATTGGCATGTAGATTCTATGGTACCCATAAGGTACCATACCTTTGTCCCATGGACAAATCAAAATATTGTAGTTGAATTATTTAAAAGAAACTAAAAATGGTATGATGGCTTGGACCAATCAAATAAGTGATAGGTACGGTACCCCATTTTTTAAATGGGTACCAGAGGTGTCACCTTATTGGCATTGTACTTGTTGTTTAGATAATAATGATGAAGTAAACAAACTATTACTATTCCATCTATATATGCGTCTTAAGACATAAAATTTGTACATCTTCAAATAGTGATGAATGGGACAAATCAAATTATGATTATGTAATATGTAGAGGACATATCTATTGTCTACAATTTGGAAGCGAACTCAGAAACAGGTACAACAATTTTATAGAGATGTGTACAAGAACATACTAAATAATGAATGAATTTTTTGTCATAATGTATTGCATTTATACTCAGTCATGCGAAAAAAAGTGGTGTGATGTGAGAGAAACATTTGGTAGGGTTACATGGGTAATTCAAAGACGGTCTTCAGCATATTGTTCTTAAAAGAACTAGAAATCAGTAGCCACATGTTTCATTTTGGATTCAAACAGAGGATTAGCATATACATGAATTGCACTGTAGTTATCAAAAAACCCATAGGGGTTTTGCAACACATGATTGAGATTTGTCCTGGTAGATAGTTTAACGACTATATATAGAGGAAGCAATTCATTTTTTGTAAAGGCTTGTGATGGTCCCTGGTAAAAGTCTAGAGGGAGGGTGAACAGACTTTTAAATCTTATCGATTTAAGATCTTTTTCCCTCTATGTAAGTTTGATCCTTAAGACCTTTTGAGAGGTTAGGATCAGCAGCGGAAGACTTGACTTTTGGTAGACACACTCAGAGTTTTCAGAGGGGTGTTTTTCTGGAAACTGACTGGAACAAAATCAGCAGGCTGCTGAAATACATGTTTTTAAGGGAGCTGTTTTTCTGGGAGTTTGAGAAGACTTTGATTCGTGATTAGTGGCTTTAAGGAATATGACACATTGATGTATCCTGGTTAAGATCTTTGCCAAGTCAGAGATTTCAGCAGTGAGTTTCAAAAATCTTGACTCCATGTTTATTATGGCTTCTTGAGGTAACATCTTGAAATTCTCAAATCTTTTGAAAGCAATTGTCAGCTTGTTGTCCTTCTCCTGCTCATCTCCTGCACCAATTTTGATGAGTTTTTTCCAAGAATCCTTTGCAGTTTCAAAGTTCCTTATTCATGGGAATTTGGATTCATTAACAGCTTTAAAAAGAATATCCTTGGCAATATTGTCCGAGTTATTTATTTTTCTGTCTTCACTTGTCCATTCAAGTTTGTGTTTTGGGATGTACTCATCTGCTCCTTGAGTTGTAGCTCTTTCTTTGTGTATTGAACTTCGTGATATGTAAAGGACCAGTTGTGATGGCCTCTAGCATCTCATCATGTGGTGCATGGAGGTGTGCCTTCATCCGGATTTTCCAGTCATCAAATTTTTCAAAATTGAACAGAAGATTTGTGGCTAAATGATTGTCCATGACTCAAAAGTGTGTGTGGGAAGATTTGTGGATCTAGGTTCAGAATAATCAGTTGAAAACTGATTCAAAGAACACCTGCTCTGATACCACTTGATGGTCCTTGGTAAAAGTCTATGGGGGGGTGACTAGACTTTTAAATCTTTTCGATTTAAGATCTTTTTCCCTCTATGTAAGTTTGATCCTTAAGACCTTTTGAGAGGTTAGGATCATCAACAGAAGACTCGACTTTCGGTAGACACACTCAGAGTTTTGAGAGGGTTGTTTTTCTGGAAACTAACTGGAAGAAAATCAACAGGCTGCTGAAATACTTGTTTTTTAGGGAGCTGTTGTTCCTGGAGTTTGGGGAGGCTTTGATTTGTGATTAGTGGCCTTAAGGAATATGACACGCTAATGTATCCTGGTTCGGAGGTGGTGTAATCCTCCTACATTCAGTCCCACCCTATAGATGGATTTCCACTAAGCTATTAACCAATACACTTAGTGACCAGTTTACCCTTGAGATCATATGCATAAACTATCAGGATTTTCACAAGGAGTACAACCCATTCCAAGTTACTCTTGTCTCTAGCTAGGTTTTTCACTAATGAACCAAACTGATTCAAAAGCTACTCATGTCCTAACTCCTAGGTTTTTCATTAATGAACCAAAATGATTCAGAAGCTACTCATGTCCTATTCTACCCACTCTTTGAATTTGTAGCACAAATTCTTCCAAAGGTGTTACAGCTTCTTCTCAACTATTCGAAGCTCTAGTATGAATATTTCATTGTGAACACTAAGTCTAAGAGTTTAAAGAAATGTGAACGAGCTAAGAATAAAGTGATGAATTAGCACTTTATCTTTTGCAAGATTTTCTAAATGCAATTGTCTTGATTGCACTAAGCTCGTTGAATCTTCTTCGTCACATCCCTTGGATATTTATAGACTTGAGGTTGTTTAATATCTCTCGTTGGTAAAGGAGATTCAATCTTGAACGTTGATGCATCCACTTCATCTTCTATCTTCGGCATGCTCTCTTTTTGTCTTGTCTTGGAGTAGCCTGAGTCTCTTTTTGTTCTTTTGTTTGAGTCCATGATTTCACTTGTATCAAATAAGAGAGTATGGGTTGACAACAAGTTTTCAATCCATTTTTTATTTTTAAGTCTCGTGACATTCCTTTCGGAGTCAAGTTGCAAATGTAAATAATTTTTACTTTGCTTTTTAACTATGAGTAACTTTGAGACTTAGCTGCGAATTTGTTCATGAAAATCAGCTGCCTAAAATCAGCGGGCTACTGATTTTCACTTCTTAGTCAGCTCTTTTTAGTACCTCTTTTTCTTTTCTTTGTTTTTGGTACTTTTTCCTTGTACATACTTTCTCATGCATGGATATGTGAATTACAAAGTACATGATCAAATTTTTGGTCTATAATATGTGCATCATCAAAATCTTAGAGGGACCTAACAGCTTGACCAACAATGCTTTGCTTCCAGGAACTCCAACTAATGAGATTGCGCCATAAAATGTAACATATGCAAATGTGTAATGATGAGCACTCAAAATTAAACCAACCACCTTGTAAGTTCATGCAAAGCGTTTAATAACTAAAACTAGAATGATAATGAGAAAGGAGTGATTTATGTGTATTTCATTAGATGGTTAAGTCATTATAAATATATAATACAAAGTTCCTATATGATTTATACAATAATTATATTCTAGAGTATATTCCTAAAATATTCAAGAGTATATTCCTAAAATATTCTAAAGCCTTTTGTAATGTCTTTCACACTCCCCATCAAGTTAGAGCATAGATATATATTATGCCCAACTTG